CCCCCCCCCCCCCCCCCCGCAGGAGACATGGCTACCGGGCACTCTCCCAGGTCCCAGAGGCCCCAGGACTGGCTGCTGCCCTGAAGGATGGAGAGTGATGGGCCCCCTGACGCCCACTAGTTATCTGCTGGGGTCCTCCAACACCTGGGCACCACTGTCCCCGTCTCTCAGAGGAGCTGCCACAGCCCAGCAGCCATACTTCTGTCCCCACCCCAGGCCAGCCCTCGGCACTCCGTGGGGGTCTTCCAGCCCCCGCCGCCCCTTCCTCCCACCCCTGCCCCCAAGCTGTTGCACCCACTGGTGGCTGTCAGTCAGGACAGTCACCCCCTCATTCCCAGTGGCCAGAGAGCAGGTAGGGGAGCCAGGCAGTGGCGGCGCAGCCCTGGCCAAGCCCACCCCTCCCTGCAGGGAGGCTCCTCCTTCTGAGGCTGCTCCTGGGAATTCCCATCCCACCACCTCAGGCAGATAACTGCTGTCACCCTTGGGGAGTGGGCACCAAACCCGGCAGGAGAAGCTGGCCCCCCGAGGGGAGGAGGGGCACTCCCGCTGGGGTCGGAGCCACAGGCCAGCCTCCTATTGAGAGGGCTCCACAGCCCCAGCCCCTGCGCTGGGAGCCCCGAGAGGGTGGCAGCCCCGCCGGTGGCCGCTTTGCAGTCTCACTGGCCCGGAAGGTGGACACATCACACCTCAGTCTCCCAATTACGCCCTCCTCCCCCTCCTCCACCTCCTCCTCCCTCTCTCTCTCCTCCTCTTCCCCTGTCTCTCCTCCTCTCCCCCCTGAAAACCTGTGCCTTGAAGAGACCTTGGCTTCTCTGGGACTCTACCCTGGGGACTGCCCACATCTTCTCCCGACTCTGGGGGCAGGGGGGCCACTGCCCCAAGGAACCTCTCTGGCGATGGAAGCCGCCCGCCTGCTGCCCAACTTCACTCTGTAAGTGCCGGCCTTTCTGACCGACAAACAACAGACAAACGGGAGTTCTGTTGCCACCTCCAGCCTGCGGCAGCCCTAATCTCACCGGGACTCCCACACGGACTGGCGGGTGGGGCGGGGGCGGTGCCCGGTGCGCCCTGGCTGGCTGCTGGCACCCACACCTGGGTCTGCCTCCTGTCCCCACACAGGTGCCTGCAGCTACTCATTCTCTGCTGTCAAACTCAGGTAGGCAACCTGCCCCGGGAGCTTCCAGCTTCTCCCCATGTCTCCCACCCACCGAAGCGGGAGGGGCAGCCTCCTTTCTTTGGACAGAGGCCGGTTCTGGCCTCTCTCTGGGGTGTGAAGGGGGCCAGCTCTGAAGGGGAGCAGGAAAGGGGCTATGGCAGATTTGGGGATCGGCTGAGTTTTTATCGGTGTTCTTTCCCATGACCCTCCCTGCTCCCCCTGGGGTCTCTGCCTCGCTCTGCATCCCTCCACACTGGGTCACCCCAAGGCGAGGTGCAGAGGCCACACAGACTTGAGGGAGGGAGCCGGGAGTGGCTGGAAGAGGGTGGAGGTGATGGCTCCAGTGAGGCTCGTATGTGAGAGGACAGGTTTCCATGCAAAACCACCTGTGTATTCCACTCCTGACCGCACTCCCACCAGCACAGGTGTCCTGGGGGTGCTGTCCTGGGGGGTTATGGGAGCAGAGTGCCCAGCCAGGGCAGGTGACTCCAGACACAATGAGGTCAAACCCAAAAGGGGTTGTCTGAGACGAGATTCAGGGTCCGCTTCTCCATGCTCCCCCACCCAAGCCTGCCCCCCATGCCACCTCCCCCTGCCCAGCTGCAGCTCGAGGCTGGTCCCTTTTTGTGATCCTCCATAAAAGTGCAGCTATTAAAATGCACTGGTCCAGAACGCGCTGGGGACACGGCTTGGCTTTCCCAGG